ACTCTTTCCAGATGATGCTCCACGCTTGGGAAAATTACAAACTCTACGCTTGGGGTAAAAACGAATTGCGACCGCTGAGTCAACGCCCGCATTCGGGCAGTATTTTTGGTGCCTACGATCTTGGCGCAACCATAGTCGATGGCCTGGATACACTCTATTTGATGGGATTGGAGAAGGAGTATCAAGAAGGGCGCGATTGGATCGAACGTAAATTTTCGCTTGACAACATTAGCGCCGACTTATCAGTATTTGAAACGAATATACGCTTTGTGGGTGGCATGTTGACACTATACGCCTTCACTGGTGATAACCTGTACAAAGAGAAAGCACAACACATTGCTGACAAGCTATTGCCCGCTTTCCAGACGCCCACCGGTATACCATATGCATTGGTAAATACACGAACCGGTGTTAGTAGGAATTATGGCTGGGCTTCAGGTGGCAGTTCGATTTTATCCGAAGTTGGCACATTACATTGCGAATTTGTATACCTTAGTGATATAACTGGTAATCCATTGTATAGAGAACGTGTACAAACTATACGACAAGTTTTGAAGGAGATCGAGAAGCCAAAGGGTCTCTATCCGAATTTTATCAATCCCAAGACGGGCAAGTGGGGACAAAGTGAGTAGTGGTTGTTGGTGTGCGAAAATATTTAGTGGTTCTTTATATCTACATACTACATATAATTATTTTTCTTTTTTCAGTGCACATGTCGCTGGGCGCTTTGGGCGACAGTTTCTTCGAGTATCTGTTGAAGGCGTGGCTGCAGTCGGGTCAGGTAGATGAGGAGGCGCGTGAAATGTTCGATGACGCAATGGTATCGATTAATGAGCACATGATCCGAACTAGCTCGGGTGGTCTGACGTATGTGTCGGATTTGAAATTCGATCGCTTGGAACATAAAATGGATCACTTGGCGTGCTTTGCAGGTGAGTGTAATTTTAAGTCAGTTAAAGAAAAACTGGAAAGTGAAAAACGCCCTATCTCAGAACACTTTTCAAGAACGCCCTACTTCAGAATTTAATTGAAGAACGCCCTATCTCAAAAATTTGTTGAAGAACGCACTATCTCAGAATTTGATTCAAAAACGCCCTATCTCTAAAGAAAATGCCTTGAAAATGAGGTGAGATAGAGCGTTTTTGAATCGGCAGCTGAGATGTAGTGTTTATGAACCGAATCCTGAAATAGGGTGTTCTTCAACCAAATTCTGAAACAGGGCGTTCTTGAAAAGTTTTCTGTGATAGGGCGTTTACGAACTGTCTGCCGAGATAGGTCGATCGTCCATTCAGGTGTCGATTTCTGGCCCTATTTCATACAAAAATTATTGCACATTTTCATTTAATTATTCAAAACTTCTTTGTTTATCCATCGATTTTCATCGCTAGTAGCTTGATCTTTCGGTAAAGGAACAGGTTTTACCACACATTTGAAAAAAATTACAAAAGATTTGTTACGTTATTAATTTTTCCCTTGCTAAAGTTTGAATATTTTTCAAAAAAATTAAGATATTGTGGGGAAATTACCTGATCTGGAAAAACGGTATACATATCCGTAATCTCAAAATTAAGTTCACGTGTTTCATCGTTTTCTTTGTGTAATTTCAAAACTTGAGATTTTTCTTACAGTGTATTTGACGTGCACCTTTTCCATTTTCGTCAAAATTTACGAGGCCGTCTATTTGCAATGGCTGTGACACACAAACTAAATGACGTAGCTTTCTCAAAATTATAGTGCTGTATTAAAAATGGTAGCTGGTAGCATGAGTGTTGCATTTAAGGTTGCTTCACGGGAAATAAAAAAAATATATATATTAAAAAAAAACCCGATTAATGATTTTCTTGTCATTTGTAGATATATATATTTTTAGACAAATATTTTCCAAATCGAATTTTTTAATTCCTTTCCGATTGATTTTAAAATGGATTATTTTTGACGATTTTTTTTTTGTGAAATCGATTATCTGTTCAGTTCGAACCGGCGGAAAGAATGAAAATCCTATTTTATTTTCAGTGCGGCACATTTACATACGAAATACATAAGAATTTATAACAAAAAGCTCAACGGTGAAGCTTGTACTTAAGCTCATTTATATTCATTTTAACTTCGAAATTTTTTATGATAGAAATACCTTATTTTGACCAGTTTTGGGTATACTTCGTTTGTAACTGCATATAAATGCACATTTCAAACTATGTACAAAAATTATAAAAATTCAAAAAATGTCAAACAAAATATAGTGTTGATTTTTGACAATTTTTTAGGCAACGGTGTTGCGCATTGCTTTTTATTGGCCGACTGTAGAAAAAGGAGGAATGTTATTAATTGATCAGATTTATTTTTATTATTTATAATATATTACCGAATAACTTTGTATCACGTGAACCGTTTTCGAGTATTTTTTCATCGAAAAGGTGGTATCTTTTATACTAAAATTTAATGGACTATCATCAGACTGTACACATAAACTGATTAAAATTAGGCATTTCTATTATTTCCGCCTCCACTGTATACATTTAGGTCTGTATGTATGTGAAAATCCGCTTTCTTATGTATTTCTAAACTTATCTCTCCTATTATTTGCGCTCGCTCTCCAGGTGGTCTCTTCGCTTTAGCAGCCAATACGCGACAAAACCAATATGCTAATAAATTTATGGAAATCGGCAAGGGTCTGACAAATACCTGTCATGAGAGCTACGCAAGAACCGCCACTAAATTAGGACCTGAAGCCTTTCGGTAAATGAGATGTCGCTTAAAAAATATATATACTTTTTTTCTAATTTCAAATACCTACTATTTTTGTTTTTTTTTTTTGCTGCAGCTTCAGCGACGCAGCCGAAGCGCGTGCCTTGAAAT